AAAAAAATAAAAAAGGTTATAATTAAAGATAATCCTAAATTAGACAATAGTATCTTAGACTCTAAAAAAGATGAAGTAAGAATTTTGAAGAATACAGAAAAAATCAATATAGAACTCAAAAAAGTGATAAAAAGTTGTATTGAGTATATTGGAATTTCAAAATTATGCTGTAGATTATTTCACCATGTACTCCAGATATTAGAAATAAATCATCTGGGTACACATAATGTTTAGTATGCCGGCGATGAGTGAAGTCTTCCAAACAGCACATTAGATAAAGGTAGCATAAATGAACTAATTAATATACTAAAAGAATATCTACTAAAACTTCAAGTAGATTAGATAAAGGTAGCATAAATGAACTAATTAATATACTAAAAGAATATCTACTAAAACTTCAAGTAGATTAGCAAAAATATTAAAACTAATAAAACTTTACCAATTGCTTTCGCTCATAGCTCTTTATATGCCGATTTAATAGATGATAAAGACATAGAGGCAAAAATTAAAATATTCAATAATAGCAAAAGGATATGGGAATTAAAAATGGAACTAAAAGAACAAAATTATTTAAGATAAAAGTAACGATTTGTTGTTTGATATTTTTAATATTATAAAAAATATTTAATATAAATATTTAGTTGCCAAAAAGTAAACAAGTTTATACCTTTTTCAAAGGAACATGATAAAAAGTTAAAAATTGGAACCATAAAATTTTATCAAACGTTGAATATATTTTTTTTATTTTTTGCAATTATATATATTCATATTTACAGGTTTGAAGTTTCCCTTTATAATTTCTTTTTGTTTAAACATTATCACAGAAGTTATTTTTTCTCTCTTTACTCCCCATCCCTCTTTACATTATAAAATGATAGAATCAAAAGTTTTGTGCAAAGTGATGATAGGAATTTAACAAAATAAGTTTTCTTTGTTTTTAAAACAGTTTTTAACACGACTCTTTTCTTTTAACTTATTGTCTGCCTAAACCGCAAGCCTTAATCAATGTATGTACTGCCTGCATGTTCCAGGGCCGCCGAGAGGGAGCTGCCAATAGGGGCATACGTGCACTGGGCGCTACGATAATTGAAGAAACAAAAAAAAAAATAAGGAGATTTTATATACAAAAAAGTTAAAAAATTGGTTTTATTGATGAGGTATATAATAAATTTACTCAGCGATATCCATAACAAGTGTTTTTACTTTTATTTATATTAAACTCTTAATAAAAAGGTGTTAAATTGCACTAAAAAGGTGTGCAGCATAAAAAACACCAACACGGTTTTAAATTACACCGTTTTGGCGTATTTCATGCTCACTGTAAAAAAACTCCGTAGTATTTATCCGCTGTTTTGTTACGGAAAAAATCCGTTTTCAATAAATTACGGTCTTTTACCTATACTTTTAAGACTTTTGAAATAATCACATCTTTTTATGGGATTTTGACCGTATTTATGATACAGAGATGTTCCGTAACTTTAAAATACGGGCTTTAACAGTATATTTTAGTATACTCTAGTATAGCCTCTAATTTACAGAGCGCCATAGTCTTTTTAACGAAGAGAAATTATACACGTTTTTAATTTCAAGTTAGAGATTTTAATATATTTATGTTTGTTTTACTGGAACTAAAGTGCTGTATGTTTTTAAAGAAGCGCATTCACAAAAATTTTTTTGTAATTTAGGTGCTGCTTAAGGTGGTATACCCCTCAGAAATATCAAGTTTTTCAAAAAAAAACTTGTTGTTTTATTTTATTCAAAATTTATTATAGAATCATATTCCGAAAACTATTTTCAAAATTCAGTATATAACTTGACAAAAACAAACTTTACTGAATCTTACTTTTTTAAGCGCCCTTGACAACCTCCATAGCAACGGTTAAATATTTATTTGGTCAAGAAGTTCTCCCCAAACTTATTATTTTAATACTGAGAAAAAAGCTTGCTGAAATGAGCTAATAACTTGTTTCTATTTTTCATTCATCAAAACATCTGTAAGAGTAAAAGCAATAACCGAATTTCTCATAATTTTCTTGCAGAAGTTTCTTTAAAACGAATTGTCACCTAAAAGTTATATATATCTCTATGCACCTGTTTATGTTTATATAAAATAAACCTTATACTTTTAATGGGTAGAGAATGTGTGAAATTCACTACTCAATAAAAAAACCCCAAAAAAAAGAATTCATGGAAATCAATATACTTTAAATAAAACAAATTCAGCAAATACTAGTCTTCTACCTTCTACAGATCTTCTTTCAAGGTAAACCCTATTAATACTTCTGCAAGTTCTAATAAAAAAAATATATGTGGATACAGAATAACTGATAGCATCTTATTAGCCATTGTTGCTCAGTAACTGATTTGCATATTTTTCTCTTTTTTAATTTTTAAAGTCTTTATTTGCTAACTTCTATTTTTCAATTTCCTGTCACAGTTATTTCATTTTCTAGTAATCAGTTTTTAACCAAATTTTTAGCAGTGATGTATTTTTATATGATGCATGCAATCTGCCAAAAGTTAATTATAAAACATTTCAGAGTTTGAGATATTGCTGTTTTAGCACTAAAAAATTGCTTATTTAAAAATTTTCATAATCCGTGTAGTGCTACATGGAAACTAATACTCAGACTTAAAAACTTTTGGCAGATTGCATAGATCAAACTGTTTTTTATCATTGGGCCAAGTTTTACTATGAACACTTTATTAGAATTTGAGATATTTTTGACAGTGCGATGAGCATATTTTCTTATATCCGCCATTTTAGGTGGTTGTCATGACAACATAATCACCTGTAATTTTATAAATCAATTTCGTTTTCATAGGCTTATTTTTAATTTTGACTATAAGATTTCACTTCCAAGATAATTTTGAAGGGGGTATACCACCTTAAGGATGCTGTTATAAATAGATTTAGATATTTATAAAAGATAGGTACTTCAAAAAAATAGTTTCTTATGTTATATAGAGTTTATATGGCCTAAAAATCTTTTCTTATGTATTAAATATTTTAAAGTTCATACTATTTAGAGTTAAGTTTTTATAGTATATAAAAGAAATACTTTACAATATTGTTTAGTGTTTCTTTTATATACTATAAAAACGTAACACTAAATAGTATGAACTTTAAAAAATTCAATACTATCAATAATATCTAAATAAAATTGTAAATAAAACTTGACTTATTAGTAATAAGTCAAGTTTTATTTACAATTTTATTAGACATTATATTCAGTTTACGATTGACAGTGATATATTTGAGATTATTTAATTGTTTTGTAATATATATATATATATATATATATATATATATATATATATATATATATATATATATATATATATATATATATATATATATATATATATATATATATATATATATATACATATATACGTATATTATATATATTTAACGGTGTATTTAAACTAACACCAAAAACACACCTTTTTGGTGCTAGTTTACACCGTTTTGGTGTTAAACCACACCGTTTTGGTGTATTTCTTACTGCTCACTATTTTAGTGTTAATTCATACCGTTTTAGTGTTTATTTAGACTGTTTTTTTAGACTGTTATTTCAGGCTAATTTTAAACAACAATAACAAAAAACATCTAAAAATTAATATACACACATATTTAAATCTAAAGTACATAAAAATATCTTCCTGTTTATCTTCTACTTATTATATAAAGGTCTTAAAATATGTCTTTATGGTTCATTTAAAGTTAGTGATTTCATTAGTTGACTTGCTTATATCAATAAAAGAAGATTTTTTATAAATATAAACTGCTAACATTAACCTAAATGATTTTGAAGTATAAAAAATCATAGCTAAGCATATATAATACCAATTAGCTTTTTTGGGTGTAGAGGAAACAACATCAACAAGATATTTGTCTCCTCCATAGTAGTCTGCAAGCTGCATGTCAGTGACTTCTGGGTTTTGCTTAATAACAGTTGAGCGAAGATTTAAATAATACACAATAGCCATTAAAAAGATGTAGTCATTGTAATCTTATAATAGACAAAAAAGAAAAAAACATGATTTTTTTATCCTTATTTTTGATATAGAACAGTTTAACTAAAAGAACATAGGAAGAAGTCATCATTTTCATTTAAACAAGCTGTCTGCCTTGTTCAAAAGATTACATTAAAATAAGTATTCCACTAAATGCACAAAACTTGGAGAAAAAATGAAAATTTCATTTCTGCACAATTAATAATAAAATCACAATCTTAAATATTTGAAGGGGTTAAAAATACAACAGCACATTCCAAAATCGTTTGTTGATTATAAAAGCAGTATTTGTGCATAAGGGACGTATTTTTACTAAAACTAATGTAAAGTCAGTATAGACATCTTGGTCTGATCACTTTTTTGCCATAACCAATATTTATGAAAATATGACCGCTATGCCATCATAGGCGCCTTTCCTTTAAGTCAAGCACAGTGTTATAGTATTTGGTTGGAGATTAGAAACAGATAAGTTTTAGATTAAAAAAAAAAAAAATTTGTTGTCCCTAAATTAAATAAAAAAATAAGTTTGCCGCCCCGGGCGGACGGCTGCAACCGCCCCACTCTTGCTATGCCACTGTACGAGATGATTAAAAAGTGAGACAAAAGGAATTGGGCAGCTTCAAAATTAACTCATTTTAATTTTGATTGTTGCTTATTGCTTAGAAATCAAAAATGTGACATGGACGTAGTTTACTACGTAGATAAAGCTAAATTACGTAGGAGATAAAGCTAAATTACTAGCCCTTTCAATTATAGGTCAAAGCAATACTTCTTGGTTAATTATAGCAAGCACACTATCTAGATGATAAAAATTGACATTAAAATAAGTAAGAAAAATAGAATACAGTCGTATAAAACTTTTATGTTTTTTATGTGCACTCTAAAATTTTATTCTTTGCGCTTTAATAGAAAAAAAAAACAAAAAAAAAAAAACAAACTTAAATCAGCTTAAATTTTGTTTTTACTAAAATATAAATAAATGATTTTTATTTGTCTTTTCAATTAACAGTTTTAGTTTATACTAAAAAAACTCATGAGTTTTCACCGTTCGTCGTACAGCATTTGTAAACCCTTCATTGAAACGATAGAATACGGTATTATTCAACAAACACGTCTTTTGCTTCTGTTCAATGTTTAAAGTCTCCTCTAAAAAAAAACAGAGTTAACTAACTTGATTACTTGTGTACATATCAAAGTAATTATGACTATATTAAAGTATTTGTGTATATATTAATTAGGAGTTTGAACTAGAGTAATTTTCAAATTTAATTAGGGATTGCCAGAATATATATTAGCGTCGGAGTCTGAAAAGATTTTGAGCATTCAAGATGTTTAACAATTACAAACTAAATTTAGAATCATCAGAATTTCAAAAGATATAATTAACAATTGAAAAAAAGAGCTGAGCAATATAAATTAAATCATTATTTTACAGAGCAGGGGCGGTGGGTGAGGGGAGGGTGTGGTAGTGAAAAAGGAAGCAGTAGCGCCCCCTCCTTTGGCCCTTTTGGGATATATAATTTTTTAAGACTAATACTAACAAATACTAATATACTAACAAACTTTGTACAATAGTGCAAAACTTAGTTTTAGTTACAGTGTCTCTTCAGAGTCTGCTTAAGCTTTCATTCCTGCTCGGGGCCAGGAGGTTAGGAAAGAGACACAGTGTCCGTTTGTGACAAAAGGTAATTATATATGTACAAAGGTCTCCTGCATTTTTAGAAGAAATTTTTAAATCATTACGCATTTAAAACTAATTTACTTACAACAATGCTGCAACCAAACATTGTTAAGTTATGAGTTACTAGAAAACAAAGGGTTAAAGAGCAAGGAAAAGGGTAACTGAAGACATTAAAAAAGATGTAAATTGCATACAAAGGTTATACTAGTCAGAAAAACATTAAGTTGGGTGAGAGTTAAGAGATTTTGTTGATGCGTGAGAAAAAAAACTAGATGAATAAACATTTTTATAGCATGAAGGGATAAGTACAGTAAAAGGATAAGACTTTGCTAAATGACAGTAAAAGTCAAGCAAGAATGAGTTTTGGTTGATAGAACTAGAAATGATAGCTCATTTGAACAACGACAGTAATAGTATTTGAAGAAAAAAAAAGGAGATACAACTTTACAATGATGGGAGAGTTACTCAAGCTTTGCAGATAAAACATTTACAATGTGCTTTTTGACCTTGTCTGAAAATGAAAGGTTATTCGTCAATATAGGAATGTTATATTATTGTATATTGCGATAGTTGTTAATAAAAAAAACTGAGAATTGTTGGAGTTAAAATCCACTAGTCATTGTGAGCCTCAAGTTACAGAAACGAGATCAAAGATTGGCTGCTTGATCAAAATTAATCTGCTTGTTCTAATCGATCAAAAAGTGAAGTCTTTTTGTCAAGATAAGAATATAAAGTTGAATCATTGGCAAGTAGAGCGACTTTAGATAAAATTTTTCGGAGGATTTTATTGTAGATAAGAAACGATACAGGAGCAAATAGAGAACCTTGCGGTGACTGGAATTAAAGAAGAGTACAGAACTTTAAGAATTAATTTAACACAGTGGTTAGAAAGAAATGATTCAATCTCAAAATCCTAATATAAATGAACTAATAATAGAGAGAAGACTAAAGGATACTAAAGGATAGTTGTAGAGGCCTGAGAGAGGTTGTAGATACCTGAGTGCTTCCTAAAGATTTAAAAATTGGAACATTTAACACTTATTATCAATTTAGCAAAAATTAAAGAGAAAAATTTTGTAAGATTATGATGGAAATGTTGTCTGAACCACAAGACGATTAAAAATTTAATTAAGAATTGACTTTAGCAACGAAAGCCTAATGATTTGGATGTCTAAATAATAAAAAAAAACAGCCCTCTTAATTGAATGATAATGCACTTTGATAAATAATCAAACCCTATTAATTGTAATAAATATTTAAATATTTGTAATAAATAACCCTCTTATTTAAATGATAAAACTTTTAATTGAACGATAAAAAAAATTGAACGAAAAAATAGCCCTCTTAATTGAATGATAAAACCCGCCCCTGTTAAATGTATTTAATAAATAACTGCCTTAATTCAAAATAACAACACACATAAACATACAAGAGATACATACAGCATATGTAAACAAACAAGAATAAAAAAGTCAGTGTAAAAATATTTTTTGTCTGGGGTCATCAAGTTTTATAAAAACCTCTATTCTTTACGGCATATTCTTCTGCTTTTAATTTTATCCAACAGTTTTCCGATGGGGTTTAAATTAAGTGAATTGCATGGCCACAAAGCAATCATGTTTTCACAAGTTTTGCCTTATAGCAAAAATTTAAAAAAATTTACTTTTTAAACTTTTAAAAATTTAATAAAAAAATTATTATTTAGATTTTATTATAATTGGTTATAATTTGTAATTTAATGTATGACTGCAGGGCTCAATTTAACGGTCGGACATCGGACATTGTTCGGCTAAAACCTCAAATTATCCGATCAATTTACAAAGTAATCGGGCATTTAGACAGAAGGAAATTAAATTCTACAAAATAAATACTTTAGTATATATATATAAAAATTAAAAGTAAAGTGAATTAAAAAAAAATGAAAAGCTTTAAATTAAAACTCAGTTAAAATAACTTTTTGTTACGTTTTTAATTGCGTTTGAAATAAATTACTTTAAAACTTATCTTTATTAAAGTTACACAAAAAGCTTTTACAAATTACTTCTATTGATTGTTTAATAAATAAAGAAATTTTATTTAAATTATTGAAAAGTGAAATTAAATTATTGAAAAAAAATATATATAAAATTTTTAAGTTGTTTAAACATTTTTCATAAGTTGCAAAAAAAAAAAAAATGTTTAAAAAAACGTTGTCTTTTTAAAATTGTAATTTTTAACCATTTCATTCTTTGATTAAAAGTCAAGTTGAAAAAAAAACAACAACTTTTAAACAATTCTTTGTAAAAATAGAAACAAAAAATAAAAGCAATTAAATCTTTGGAAGATTTAATTTAGTCATAATTTAAAGTAACTTGAAAATAATAATCTTTAAAAAAAAAGATTTTTAGAAGGACTTTTTATGATAAATTTAAATGTTTGAAAATTTTAAAAATAGTTTCAAACGCTTAAATTTATTATAAAAAAATATATACCTACTAAAAAAAAAATTAAATGTAATATTTCACAGTTGTCCAAAAAGGGGACCTAACTTCTTTGGAAATGACCTAAAAAATCCCTTGGAGGGGTGATTCTAAAGGTTATGTTGATCATTTTGAAACAAAAATCCTTTAACTATGTCTGCAGGAGAAATTGCATTTAAAGTTTTTGCCTAATTTGCACTGAGAAACCTAATTTGCGTTTCCACTGCTAAAAGTCATTAAAAAAAACCTTTTGTTGTGTCTTAAATGTTGTAAATTTCTCTAAACAAATAATAGGATTACAATATATTGTCAAAAAATGCCCAATTCAGCAAAAACTCATGGTGATTGCAAAAAATCTGTTTGCTTTTTATGTTTGAAGAAAAGTGATCGCATATTAACTGATTTTTTGATTGAAAAAGTCAAGAATATTTTTAAGTGTAATGTTAATTTCAATGTTGAGAAAATTCCAACTGGCATTTGCAATTCATGTAAAAGCAAACTACAACTGGTGCTTGCCAGTGTATAATTTGTAGTGGATAAATCGAATAAAAGATTTTAATGTTTTCTTTAAAGTGATCCCTATTACCTATAGAATCACTCCTCCAAGGGATTTTTTTGGTCATTTCCGAAGAGGTTAGGACCCCTTTTTAGACAACTGTGATTTAATTTACACATAATGCGTTTATTTTAAATTATAATTCTTGATTTTATTTAAAGTTTTTAAAAGTTTTGATTTTATTTAAAGTTTTGTAAAGTTTTTAAACTTTAAAAAAGATCAACGATTAAAAGTTATTTGTAACGTAACAATTTTTTTTTGTTGTATTTAAATAGTTAAAACTTTAAAAAAGCTGTTGTCAAGTTGTAAGAAAAAAAGCTGTTGTCAAGTCTATGTAAAAAAACTATTTTCTTAAAAAAAAGCAAAAATCAGCGATAAAATATTTAAAATAACTAACGTTAAATAAACTTAATAACATGACAAAGATTTCGATTGCATAACTAGGTTCCGTAAAGCCGTAAAAATTATCAAACATTTTGTTCGGGACGTTATAAAAAATTAAATTGAGCCTTGTGATTGTAAATTATAAATTAATTGTAAATAAAATAAATTGTAAATACCAATGTTAATTGTATAACAACTCTTTAAACTAGTTTGATTCTTTGATTAAAAAAAAAAAATTAATTTATGCAAACAAAAAACAACTTAAAATAAACCTGATATAATTATGATATCTAACTATACTCCAATCCTTTAAGGTTTGAGAACATTTCAGTTTGACCGTTTGAATTACTTGATTAAACAACATTATGTTATCAGAAATAAAACCAAGTATACAAGTTTTTGGATTAATGCTGATTAAAAATATTGACAGTCATACAAAAATCCAAAAAATTTGAGCTGAGCAAATTTAATAAGCCATCCTTAACACATTAACATTAAAAAAAAATTTCACAGCTAATTTCACAGATCCAAGGGAGAAGTTAAATGATAAAATGTTTGAAACTTTTTTTTCCTGGGATGTTCATTTATTATTCATTTATTTGAGTAAAAATGCATATCATTGTTTATTTCTAAATATATATATTTTTTGTTTGTTTTTTGAATGAATGAAGGAACTCCAGAAACTCTAAAAAGGAGGAAAAAAAAGATTTATTCTGGGATCAAAAGATAAGTACAGAATGAAATTAGGTTTCTTTTAAAACAAAACAAAAATTGCAAGACTTACTAAAGATTTACTAACTTACAATTTACATGCCAAAAAAGATTTAAAATAAAAATAGCCCAAAAAAAAAAATTTTCCCTCATTACTTCGATTTCTTGGATAAATAAATTTATAAATTTTTTTGTCATTCTTAGACAAAAGAGAATAGTAGAAAGAGAAAGCTGCATTTAAAAAAAAGATCTAGAACATGACTCATCTTGTCTTGAGATTAATAAAGATACCAGTGTGAACTTCTTGTGGAATTCTTAATTTAATTCTAGTGAATAGCGTGAAAGAAAAACTTTACAACAAAAAGTCAATGCTGAAATTTCCATAGATATTTTTGCTGGTAGCTTTTATGGTTACAACAGATGATATTTCTCCAAGTATTTTAAATTCCTCATAAATTATAAATACTTCCAAAAATAGCCATTCACTATTTACACTCCCACCGTCAAATAATGAGAAAATTTTAGTTCTTTTAGAACAATGTTTTGCATTGCATGACCACAATTTATAAGAGTTTGTTGTCAATTTAGACAAACAGTTTTATGTAAAAACATCATTTGCAACTGAAATTTTCTTTTCCACATCTTCAAGCATGTATTTTGTAGAAATTAGTTTGATTGTTTTTATTTACTTTCATTTCATTTCATTTATACTTTTATTTCATTTATATTCACAAATTCTTTCTCAGATCATTTAATTTTTTTTTGCTCATTGTGTTTTAACTAATTCCATGAAATTAGTTTTGGAACATGCACCAATAAAAAAACAGCAACTGTATAACTGACATTCCTTTTAAAGTTAAACCATACTAAGATTGTATTAAAGATATTGTTTTAAATAAGTTTGGACTTCTTTGTTTGGACTTCTTTGTGCTATATCTACCTATAACAACTTTTGAAATTACCTCAAAATGCAAGATATACCTGAGCTGGTTATTTTTGTAATCTTTTTAAATGGTTTGAAGAGTATGGTACTTTTATACATAACTAAAACAATTTGATTTAACAGTAAACAAGTAATGCAAGCTGTGACACAGTCTAGTCACAAATTTAAAAAAATGCCCAGTGTAACTAACATGTGCATTTCAATAAAGCAGGTCAAAAAATTCAAAATTACTGAGTGTCACACAATATTTGGCAGCATAATGTTTGGTGCTTTGGTTAACAGTGGTGGACAGAAAAGGTGTGCAATTGCATGCAATTCTCGACCATGCACAACTTTATTTACGACAACTGACCGCAACTTTTTTAGATTTTTGAAAACATTTCCCAAACGTGCAAATGTATAAAGTAATGAAGTGAGAAATTGCTTTTAATAATTGAATACTATAAAAAACATTTTATTTAAATTATTGAAAGTTAATATATAGTTAGAAAATGTATTTTTTATGATGAATTTAAATGTTTTTAAAACAATTTATAATTAACTTTATAAACAACAACAAAAATGATTGTTTCAATAAACATTTTGATAAATCCATAAATTTATCAGTCAAAGTTTTTTAATGATGAATGTTATTTTTTTAAAATAATTTGTATTTTATAAACAACAACAACAATGAACGTGTTTCAATAAACTTTTTTTTAAAATTTATAAAATTAATATAGTGGAAAATATAACAAAGTTTTTTTTTGTTGTTTTGTGAACTTTCTAATTGCTTTTATACTACCCTTAACCCTCAAAAAAAAAAAAAAATTTAAATGATTGTTTTGAATAAAAAGCTTAATATAAATTAACAAAAAACATTATAAAAAATATATATTTTAATTAAAAAATTTGCATATTTTATGATTATATTTAAATACAATTTTATGATTATTTTATAAACAACAACGACTTTAAACAAATATTGTCTCAATTAATTTTTTTAAAAAATACATGAAGTTAATGTTGTCGAAAACATAACACATTTTTTTGAAAGAATGTAAATAAAAAAAATATATATATTTTAAACATCTTCACTTCAAACAAAGCTGCAACCAACCACTACTAGAGTTAGAAGTTACTGGAAGAGAAAAGATGATGATTGTAGGACAAGACGTTATCTTGCTCTACAATCGTCAAAATTTATAATATATTATTAATCGTCTGTCAAATTATATTGACAGACAACTTAAAAGATTGCAAATTATATGAATCAGGAAAGCAAGATAAAGGAAGCGAATTCCAAAGAACTGATGTTCGAGAAAAAAAAAATAGTGGAGTAAGAGTTTTTGGAGCATTTAGGAACAGTCACAGAAAAAAGATGACAATTGAATAAAAACCTTGTATAAAAGAGAAAGGGCATCATTAGAAGATCCGCCCCAGATATGGCAACAGTATTCCATACAAGGCCGGCTTTGAGATTTATAGAGATAGAGAATAGAATCTGGAGTAAGAAAGTGTTGAACTCGATAAAGAGACGCAACTTTAGAAGATAATTTTGCAACGGATTTGATATATGGTTTCTAAGAAAGATCGGAAGTAAGAGTTAACCTTAGAAGATGAAGGGTAGATGATTCATCAAGTACATTACCATTCATAAATATAGAAAAGTCTAAATTAATGCGATAACAATTGGCTGAAAAAAAGAGTTTTATCTGAATTAAAGTTCACCAGCCACTGTGAGCCCCATGCTGTAGCAAAAGTGAG